AACCGCAGATGCTCGGCCCTGATCACAAGTGGTGGCAGGACGGTCTGTTAACGTGGCTGTGTTTGAGCTGCTGAAGCCTTGCTCTTTTTATGGCCACAGAGTCCTCTGATGTGGACTGATAGTGGAAGGGTGTGCTTACTTAAGTCCTTGTCTGGGTCGATGCAGTCTTTATTGATCAGGGAAAACACCTGGTCCCTGTTGAAAAAGTGCCCTATAAAATGTAAGATGGAGTCGCTTATGTCAAAGGTGTTCTATACATCGGCACAGTCCAATAGGACCTTCTGAGGTGGTGGAAATGTTCTGCATCTGTGCTGTCCCATGTGACATACACGGAACACGTGTGGCTCCTGAGCATGTGGTGTGACTGAAGGACCAGTGTTGGTTGTGTGTACTTGTGAGTACTTTAAGCTGACACAGCTCCATGTGGCCAGTGGCTGCTGGGCTCCTCAGTGTAGACGCGACCATTGGGGCTGCCACCCCTGGACGGTGCGTGAGATGCCCACTGGCATCGGTGAGCACAGAGAAGTGGGCCATGGGCGGCGCTCAGCTTCCCGCTCCTGAAACAGGTGCCTCCCCCTTGCTCATGGAGCTGCCACGAATGCTGAACACTGTGGTGTGCAAACACTTGGTGTCATGTCCCGCGCTATGATTATTTCATTAAAATATCCCCAGGAAGAGAACCCTGAGGGGACTGAGCTGTCTCTCTCCGTGGAGGTAAAAGGAGAACTGGACTAGAAGAGGCAGGTGTCTCTCGGTAGAATGGGCAGCCCTGCAGGGCACCTGCCTTTCTCTGCCTTGGCTTTAGCTCCAAAAGCAGACCGCTGCATGAATTGCAGACTCCTTTGGAATGCTTTCGTTCCCCAGATGTACCAATTAAATGACCCATGAGCAGGATTCCTTAAAACAGCTGCTGTGCGTGATGAGTCTTTCTTGGTGTTGGGGACTGTGTGTATTTCTCCGCTTGGCTTGTTGGTGTCCACGTGGTCTCTCCTAGGCCGGCCTCATCTCTCCTCCCTCTCAGGTGGCATCGCCACTTATACCCCAGAACACTCCCGGCAGAAGAGGGAACAAAGAAAAGAGCTGGGGTGTTTTTGTCTTCCCTGTAATTTGCCTGAGTTTTGGGGGGTTTTTGGTGTTGTTTTGTACGAGATGGAGCCTCACTCTGTTGCCCAGGCCGGAGTGCAGTGATGTGATCTCAGCTCACTGCAATCTCCCGCTCCTGGGTTCAAGCAGCCTTCTGCCTCAGCCTCCCAAGTAGCTGAGACTACAGGCATGCACCACCACACTCAGCTAATTTTTTTGTTGTTTTTTATTGGTATTTTTAGTAGAGATGGAGTGTCCCATGTTGGCCAGGCTGGACTCGAACTCCTGACCTCAAGTGATCCACCCACCTCGGCCTCTCAAAGTGCTGGGATAACAGGTGCGAACCACCATGCCGAGCCCTGAGTTTTTAAAATCTATTTCAATCAAAGTTGACGAATTATTTTGGTGTCTTGTAGCCTCAGCTTGGTAATTTAAAGAGTGTGATTCCTTTATGCTTCTAAATTAAAATCTGTGAAGATTTCGGGGGAGTGCCCTGGAGCCTAAATCCTAGCTTCTTTGGGACTGTGTAATGCTAAAGCAGTCTCTAAAGATGGAAGGCAATGCTTCCACGTGCCTATGTGGTCCAGGGCAACGGTTCCCCAAGCATTGACTAAGATCGGGAAAACCTCACCGTTGCCATGGGCCTCTCCATCACCACCACGAGACAGACCCAGCAGGAAGCAGAGTCATCAGAGTCCCCGGCAGGGAGCGGGGAGGAAGACACCTCATCTTCTCACGAGAAGCAGTGGAGGCACAGTGCACAGTGGGGTTTGTGTGCAGGCAAAGCAGCCGTGTGCAAACCCAGCATGCAGCCCAGAGCCCTGGGTGTGCAGTCGGCACTGGGGATTCCAGACTCCAGCAGTAGTTCTGTGAGTAGATGTGTTTTAACCTCCTGGAGCCTCGGCTTTGTCCTTAGTAAAATGGAAATGACGATATAGCAATAATACCATCTGTAAACTAAAAATAAAGGAACTAAAACATAAGTAAACATACACAGGCAGATTTTTAATTTTTGTGCAAGGATATGTCGGGACCCGTGGCTGCCACACTCCCTGAGGTCAGCGGCTGGGCTGGGCGCTGGGGAAATGACCGTTCCCCAGCCTGGCTCTGCCGCTCTCAGGGGTCTTGGACATGGGCGGGTTTGTCACAGGTTGGACCTCCGGAGCACCTCCTGCAGAGATAGCTCCTTCTGAAGCTCAGCAGTCCCAAAACCAGCTGCCTGACACCCCCAAAGGCACATGGGCTATATGTGACGAGGTGCAGCTGGGCAGATACCCAGACTCCACAGGGCACGCCCTCCAAACTGCACAGCCTCCATGCTGCATGGCATTCATACTGCACATTCTTCCCCTGCACGTCCTGCCCCTGCATGTCCTCCCCACTGCATGTTCTCCATGTTGCACATCCTCCCCCCTGGACACCCTCCCCCCTGCACATCCTCTCCGCTGCTTGTCCTCCCCCCTGCAGGTCCTCCCCCCTGCAGGTCCTCCCCCCTGCACGTCCTCCCCCCTGCA